AGATTGAAAGAGAGCGTAGCGAAGTTGAGGTTAGATGACAATGACTGGCTGGAACGATTGTTCTCAGGATGGGGAATCACAGGGTGGTTATTAACTATTGTGAAGAGTGGCTTGATTATGTTATTGATGATCTTAGTCTGTTTGTGCCTGTTTCCCTGTCTTCTGCAATGCGTGCAATGAATGGCGCCTTCAATCAACAAGCGTATGCAGTTTTGTTAAAACAAAAAGGGGGAGATGTCGGGGGCGATGTGTACCAGAAGACGATTAGGAGTAGCAACAAAGTATTCCCTCAGTGCCAGAAGCCCTGGGAAAGTGCGCCTAACATGAAGACTTGTGTCAGTGCCAAAACGGACAGGTGCCCGTGAGCTATCAGAATGCAGATATTGAAACTAGGGCAAGGACATGAGAGAGGGAAGATAATCTTAATGCAGAATGCAGCTTGTAGTAATGTAGCAAAGCAAGTGTAATCAGTGAACACAGCTGTATTCTTACATAATAAGGGTCCGATATATAAGAGAGGACGAAATATGAAATAAATAATCTTGCTTCACTACACGCAAGGTTCGTGCCTTCAATCCCCACAGGGAGGAGAAGAAAAGTAAATAAGTGCAGAAGGAGAAAGATAAGAAGGCAGGGAAATGTTTTTTGAACCATTTCCTCTTGGTTGCTTCACAGCCAACTTTTTTGTTTTCCTTTTCTACTTAAAACTTGAAAATCTCAGCACAATAATAGTTTGAGGGCTTTGGTCAAGAAAAAGAGATTTGGAAAAAATAATACACAATTAGAAAGATCAAGTTTTTTTCTGTTAATGTAATAATAAGCATTTCTTGGGCTAATAAATTCCCAAGTCTTTGGCCTTAGAGTTTGTTTTGTCTTGCATATGTTATAACAAGGACATTGACATGACTTGTGCTTATAGGGAGGAAAATCAAAAGTGTTATTGGCAGAAGCATTTGTTTTCTAATCCAGTGCATAGCTCAAGATGGGCATCTAAGTATTCAGTATTTTCCACCTGTCTGAGTGGAGATGAAACTTTCTCTTCTGTATAGAATGAGAGGGTATTCATTGCCCCAGAGGATAAGAAAGCTGGTACAAACTAAGGTCTGAGAGAATAACTAGAGAAAATGATTGATGACAGTGTTATAAGCTTGTAATTCTTTGTCAAATTTTAGCTTTCCTTTGGGTCATGTCCACAACTCACAGTGAATCACCTACCTACTGATTAATTCCAGCAATAGAAATAAATAAGCAGAAAAAATATATAGGTTCAGCATGCCAGCCAATGGAGATGAAGAAAATCATCTGTTCTACTATGGGTAAACTACAGTAGAGCTTCTGCAGAGATATGACAGCTATTTCAAACCATTATAAGAAATTCCTTAGGTGCTCTCTGGTAAATGCTGTCTATTTTTGGACAGAAAATTTTAATTGTGCTCTGAGCAATGAAAAATCCCTCTGAGGCCTCCATGTTGTAGCACAAGGTCACTGGGATTGCTGGAAGTTACTCTGGTCAGCATATGGAGGAGGGTGCTGGACTTCTGCTTTAAATGACTTCTGGCACTGTGCGCAGCCAGCCAATACTGACCTTCCTTTAGGAAAGGAAGGAAAGGCTTCTCAGCTTCCACCAGTCTGGACCCATCTGCCATCTTGTTATACAGCGAAGCCTAGGACACCATGATGTTAATCATAGGTGTCAGAGGAAGGTAAACAAGATGCATATATTTGTCTGCCTGAATTGCTTCTTTGGAACTGTATTTTGAATTTACTAGGAGCCATGCAGTGTCTATGCAGCAGTTTTCTTATTTCAGTCATACAAAAATATCAGGATTGGGAAGAAAAATGTGACTGGCAATTACAGTATTGTGAGCTGGTTTTGGCCTCATCCAGCTTTGAGAGATTGGTTCTTGCATGTGTCTATCATGTCCTTCTCAGATTTATTGAGTCATATGCTGATGGGCACTGGAAGTGCCCATAAACATAATGGGACTGGTTCAGAACACTAATCACCGATTCCTGTAACTGAGGGTTTGACCTCAACTTGATACTGAGAAGTAGATTCCAGTTCCTACAAGGAGACACCTACCCTTGCATTGTTGTTATCACTTTTTACTGACCTTGTTATTTTCTTCTTATTTTTCCTTCCTGGGTTATAATGTTTAGTCTGAGTTTTAAGACCAGATCTTCCAACAGTTTAACAACTTAAAAGATTGGGTGTTTAATGCTTTAAAGTACGTGACTAAATAGCCCCAAGATACGCAACTAATATAAAAGACATCTCAGATTTCTGTCACATTCTCCCAACTTTTCCCCCGAAGGATTAGCACCAAGCTTTCCTGGAGGCTCAGTAGCTTGGTATTGAATTTACCACGAGGCAGTATGGAGGTCTATAGTTGCCTGTATGTGTGTGTGTGTGCGTGCATGTGTGTGAGAGAAAGACATCCCCAGTTGATTATGCATGCAAATAGATGGTGTACAATTGCAAACCAGGTGCATTCAGGGGCAACTTGCTCTTCACATCTTCCCTGTGCAAAGCATCAGGGTGGAAGCTGCTGTCCTCACATGCTCTTGTAATCTCAGCAGAGGAAAGTCTTAAGGACTTGGGCCTCTGGTCATTTCCTGTGTGCAAGGATTTCAGGGATGGAGCCATCTGTGATGATGCTGACTGGTAGAAAGCTGCGCAGTATCCTACCCCCCCCCCCCCAGGACACAGTATGCCTCCTGGCTATACTAATGGGAGAAGGAGGTAGCTACCACCTGCTTATCTCCCACCACTGGTGAATTCCATGCCTGGATAGGTTGCTCAAAGATAGGGTGTAGGGTAGTGCATGACTGACTTTCCTTTTACATAGGTGACAGATTTAATTTCTGTATCAGAGAACCCAAGAAAAAAAAATCTCTTATGTCCTCCTCTTCCTCCTTCAGCATAAACTGTTTTACTTCCTGCAATAAACAGGAGGAGGGAGGGGAGGAAATCAAAATCCAGAGCCAACTCTGGTTTCCATATAGTAGCTTACACCTACTGTGTATTTATTCTAATATACCATCGTGTTCTGACTTCTACATCTTTTGACTGTTAAGTTCCTACTCCTTTCTTTTGTTTGTTTGTTTGTTTTTTCTACTCTCCTTCTTTGCTCCTTGCAGAGGAGCTTCTTTTTCCCTGGATATAGGAGCAGTACAGAGATTATTTATTCTCCATCAGTCCTTTGACAAGTGCTACTCAATACTCACATTGCAGTAGAATGAGAAGTGTATTTATCTTGTTCTGTGGCTGTAAGCTTTATGGAAAATCTGCAGAACCACAGGTACATAATAAACATGAGTGAGTTATCCTGGAATACAGTGCTACAATGATACATTTGCTATGGTCTGCTGGTGCAGGGGACTAGTGTTCATCTCAGAAGCTCTTCACTAATGGATTGTGATGCAGTACTCTATAGTCCCTGTTGAGCAGCCCTGCACCTGACAAATGCAGCCTGGAGCAGAACAGTAAACCTGTTGTTCTGACCATACCACATGTGTCTGACTTGCTTCTGCAGTTAGGGGGACTTGGGGTGCTCCCCTTAACATTGACAAGGGGACACACAGAGGGGACGGAGGACAGACTGAACCTCCTTAACATAAGTAATTTCAGTAAAAAACAGAATCAAACCCAAATGGTTCTGGTGTAAAGAAAACATGAAAACAAAGGTATCATTGCAATACAGACATATTAGAAAATAAAGTTATGTGAAAATTGCCATTAATACTTCAATCCCAAAGGTCTCCTGTTAAAGTAAAATTGAACAGAAGGTAATAATAAATGTGTATTCCTGTAATCAAAGCACTGTAATCAAAATTTATTTTTAAACAAAAAAGACAATGATTTTAAATAAATATGGTATATTCCACATATCTGTTGATCAATACAACTTTTTAAAATTAGCCATTTTTAACTTATGCAATTCTGTTGCAGCAGCTTCTACGAGATTTGACAGTATTGCTTCCAAATCATAATCAACCAAACAGTACAGAAAAATCAAGCTATTTACGTAGGTGAAGCTTCAGTTTTCTTAACTAAAGAAAGTTCTACTAATGCAAAAGCACCCATCAAGACAATGATTATCCTTAACTACAGAACTTTTTTTTTTAAATGAAGTCTGTTCAGCCTTTTAAAATTCTCTGTTACGCTGCCTGCATAGAAATCAGCATAAAGTTAACTTACAAGCTAGGCTTCACGTTAGCAGCACAGCGAATGGCATCAAACTTCATGAAACAAATAAAAAAACAAACATTGTCAGCAAAATTCAGCTATACAGACCTGATATTAAGAACAAAACCTTTCATTTGGTCACAACTAGATTGGCTCTCAGTGTGCAGCTTTCCTCAGGAAGAAAGTGTCCTCCCGATTCACATGAAAAGAATGGAACATACATACACCAAAAGCATTACACGTGTATCAAATGTCAGTTAATGGATTGGCTCAATAAGGTGGAAAATATCAGTTTTCATAAATATATATCATTATTGCTAATATGCTACACGTTATGCTTTAACATAAAGGTGTTGTCCAACTTTTAAAAGATGCTAGATCAGCATTGTTAGCCCTGCAATTAGCAGCTCATTCATGGTGACAGTTCATTCTGAAGAAGAAAAAAAAAAAGTACAGCATAAATATAATTGCAAAAACAAAAGGCTTGTGGGACCTTCCCCTCTAACTTTGCTTTCCTTGTTGTTTTTTTTAATTTTTTAAGAAGTTTAAACAAAATAAAAACCCACACAAGTCCAATTCACCACAAGTTAAGAACAGTCTTACAATGAGGTTGCAAAGCAAGTTACAAGGAGCAGAGAGGGATAGAATGCATCATGCATTTACAACTTGGTTATAGTCTACTCCTTTTGGTCATACCACTGGAATACAAAAATCCAATTTAAAGACTAGACTATGCTATCATGATATTACATTCTTATTAACAATAAGACATTGTGTAAGAAAATAGCTTGTGTGAAATGTTTCTGAAATGTATTCCTGCTCCCCACCCTGCACAAATATGCACACACTCCCCTATCAAAACATTCACTCACACAAAAAACAAAACCACCCCCTTAAAAAAAGAATGGGAATTGTGAAGGGGACCAACTAAGCTAATTATAGCACAGTGATTAACAGGGTTCAAGACAGAACAAGATTAGAGTTGACCAAAAGATGCCCTCAACACTCCCTCCAACTGACCCAATCAAACTTAGTCCATTTTTGGTTCATTTAAAGTAGACAAAAACATTTCATATAGATGCATATAAATATAGGACTCCAGATTTAGTTTAGTTTTTGATTTTGCAAGTCCTAGTTACCTACCCGTTCATTTTGCTTTGCAGCAACTACAAGAAGTAGGCATTTAAGGGCCTCCTCCCCAACTTGTTACTAGCTCAGTCTTTTAAGATATTACAGAAGTCAGTTGTAGTTTTACTGTGGTTTTACTAGGTCTAGCCTCATGCAATCCAGCTGCCATTTGACCCCTGGCTATCATACCATGAAGTAAGAAGCTGTGTCCTATCCTGGATGATACTGTCTTTTTAAAGTTTACTGCAAAGCATTCATATATAAAATGCATTCTCTCAATTTCCTTTTGTACAGAAGAGCAAGGTACTGTTTGGCCAAGACTACAGATGTATTTTTCACAGATACAAGAGCCATGCAAAAAACTATTGAAAGTAGTTTTTTTTTCTTCCAAAAGTATTGATATAAAACATAATTCGTAATACTTTTTCCTCTTGAATGTGAAAATGTTCACATTCACAGTCAGAAAGTTGTGGCTATACATCAAGGATTTCTTCTGCGGTGCCTCCACAACGTAATCTGTAGCGTCCTGTTCTCCAGCTAATAGTGGGGTCCCACAAGGCAGATAGAAAAATATATACTGTCATGGATTCTCTGATGAACCAAGCTACTGTGTAATCGAGTTTTGAAAAACATAAAGCACCACCCTGGAAATATACAAACGCACACATGCATTTAAGTTTAATGATTATTCCAATGCAACTTTAAATATTCATGATATGCATATATCTACTCTAAAGCTAATTATATGGCTTTTATGTACTTTTTCTTTAATATAAGAACCAGGAAAATTTTCCTGGTTAAGATATGATTCTGCATGTTAAAACAGGAAAATGGCACAATGACCTGAAAGGTTTGAAAAGTCACTTGTACATAGAGGGAAAGGCAAAGTAAACAGAGTAGTACATGAGCATTTCATTTCACTTTTAAAAAGCTTCCAAAACCAAACAACCTCCCCCCCCACACACCCCTTCCTTCAGGTAGTCACTAGGGATTTTTTTTTTTGCCACAGACCCCAAGAAAATCAGCATCTTGATAAGAAAGCAAAACATTGCATGGTCCCAGAGGAGTGAAATACAACTATATGGGCCTTGGGCCTATTCCTTAGGAAAAATTGGGCGTTAGAGCAGAACAGCTCATAGCCTCTACATATTTTCTGTTCAAGAGGAAATTTCATTCCAAATGCACAGCTGGAACTGAAGAGGGTAAGGAAGAGGCAGAATTGGCACAAAGCTATTAGTACCACAGTACTATTCCAATGCATATGTTGCAACTAGATACTGTGCAAGAATAATCAGAAGAGCTGATCTGAAGTTACACTAGCCTGGGAGAGTCGCATGGTATCAAGAGAGGAACAGCTGACTTTTTAATAGTTACTTTAAAAAAGCCCCAACAACTATCAAAAGTACATTTTCAGGATGACCAGAACTATTCAATAAGTTTGAATTCACAGATTAACTATGGACAAAATTTGGGTGGAATGGGATCAGAGCACGGAGGAGGAATAGTTTGAAGAACTCCTACAGCGTCAGAACAGCAAATACTGTTCTTTGATTTGTGTTATTTCTCCATACTCATAGTTTTGCTGAAGTTCCATTTTTTGCATTTATAAGAAGATTTAGAAAGAGGCTACAACTCTTATGCAATTTTATTATTCAATATTAAAACAGTACCTAAGTAAATAAGCTGAGTGCTTTTATATAAGGCACCAGATTACAACTAAGGTTAAAAACATCCAAGCAAAAAACCTACAAATCTACTCTTGTATCATTAAAAAAAATTACTTAAAAATCTTGGGTACACCTAGAGCAAAAAGATATCAAGTGTAAGTGCAGAAGATTTAGAAAGGAAAGGGATAAGCATGTAACAAAACTTCTACAGTGCATGTATAAAACAAAACTACAATTAAGCACAGTGCTATCTCATCTCATGCTATTATTTATAACTAGAGTTGGAAGAAGATCATAGGAGACAGGATTTGATTTCACATTTCCTTGATGATACCAAGAGAAGTTTTATTGTTATTCTAAGTAGTTTTTTTTGCTGAAGTAGTTGGCACTAATAACATACGTAACTTTAAGACAAAATAGAGCTACATACCTGAACACCTCTTAGTTGAATGTAGTCAAATATAAACCATGCCAAACAGTGACACATGAAAAATACCATTATATCCCATCTGAAAACATGATGAGCTGCCCATCCAATAATTAGACTGGCAACAAAGCACTCTGAGATTGGCTCACAAATTATTGTAGCAGGCAACATGTTAATTCGCAGCTTAGCCCATCTATGGAAAAAAAATCACCAAAACCAGTGTTGTTTTAAAGAACAGATCAACTTTGGTTACATATATCACTTTTTTTTTTGTCCTCACTCCCCCACCTCAAAAGGTTTAGAGCCATCAGGTTTTTTTTCAAGAAAACATTAATCTGTTATTTAATTCACACCGTCAAATAAAATACTGCAATGAATTATTCTTTCTATGATACTGCACACAACATGGAAAAGGTACTAAAGTGTTTTTTTTTAAGTAATATTATTTACTCATACATTAGTCTTGGCTCTAATAAAAGCTATTCAATGTGTGCTTCCCTCTCAACTCAAGTTACAAAGAACTCCAACAAGAAAGGTGCATCAAGATGTCCATCGCTACTTCAGCAGTCTGGACATTAGATCAAGTTAGCTTGGAAAAAGTATTCTCTCTCATATTTATTCACATCGGAAGCAGGTGATGGGGGGAGGGGGAGAGGAAAAATTTAAATTTTACCTGATCATTCTGGACTGAAATTGAGAAATAGAATATGAACCAGAGTTTTGCATGGCAACTTGTGTGGCCATCGCAAGTTTCCAGCCCCTGAAAAAGAATTTACATGATAAATAACCTCCAAATAATAGATGTAAAGACTAATTTCAGTACAAATGTCTAAGGATGTTATTAGGCTTGAATAGCTTCCTTGGCATATATGCCATGATATTACAATACATATAAACAAATTATATGAATACTTCTTCAAAGCTCGAATAATATTTTCTCTAAGTTCTCAGAAAACTTTTTTTTTTAAACAAAGCACTGACATTGATAATTGGTGGTTTAATTATTGTTCAAAGGATATATTCATGTAGGACACGTTACAAGCATGTTTGCTACATACATGTGAAGCTAAATTGAATAATTAAATTTACAGTATACTGTACATTTTTTTAAATGGGATTAAAAACCTGTCCTTAAAGGAAGAAGCCTACTCCAGAGTTATCTTACCGGTCAGCTATAGCTTTGGCCATAAAATAATCTTCAGCAATATACTGTGCAAAAGCTATCAGTCCTCCAGCTTGGTCCAAAACATCCTTTCTCATCAAGCAAGACATTCCCGTTACACATTTGAAGCCAGTTACATTAGCTGAAATATATGACCTTGGATGGGAAGTGCCAAAATAAACCTACAAAACAAGATGGTAAGTTAGGCTTTTAAAGCTCTATAGGTATTTGTGCAAATACTACTCCACTTATGGCTTTGTATAAATATTTCTCTAAAAGATTTGAGGAAAAAAAAAGCTACAGGAAAGTGGCCAACTATAATGTCATATTTGGAGAGACTTTTACAACCAATCTTTTTTTTGGCTACCATGTTAGCTTTGGATCCCTTCTACCTACCTATTACAAAAAAACGTATTTTGGTAAGAGCATTTTATTTTTTGAAGAAGGCTTTAGCTACTTCAAAATTTTCCCCTACTTTAAAATTGGAGAAAGTGAATGATTTGTCTATTATATAGAATTCAGCAAACTAATGTTTACTTTTACATTAACAGTATCAACCATTTATTGCTATAGCTTAACATTCAATTGGGTAAACTCAATGGAAATAAGGGAGAGTATATAGTCCAAAAATTCAGAGGACTGATACAAACTTTCAAAAGGGTTCCTGCATTTGTAATTTTTTCTAAACTACTGAATTTAATTATAGCATTAATTAAACTATAGTATTAAACTGAATTAAACTATAGTATTGTTGTAGAACACATAAGAACATCTCATGAGCATCTCAACAATCTCTTCACCTAAAAAACATAAGGGTTTTTTATTTCATTTGTCCTCAATGAGAATGTTACAATGTATTGATTTTAGCAAGGATAACTTCAGAATATTTTAACCAAATCTGACTCAAAATAACAAGCAGCAAAACCAGTAGGGCTTGTATCACTTGATACCTATGGCTACCTGTGCTCATGTGAATGTAGTCACACACACTCACAAACATACACACACACACACTACAGAAATTCTGCAGCCAGTGGACAAGTGCAAGAATTCAAGAGTTTATGAAGAGCCAATTATTCAGCCTAAATTTTCTAATCATGTATACTTTGCTAACTGAAAGAGGGACAAAGTTACCAAAGAGAGAACATTATTTGTTAGCATTAAAACTGGAAATTTGTCCCTAAGAACACATTTTGGAATCCTATAACTGCTAAACATTTTATAAATTACATCTTGAGTTTGTTAGCCATGTATCAAGAAATCTAATAGAGTCAAATTATGAATTTGCAAAGTCACAGCCAACTGTATGTTGACTGCATATATTAAGATAGAAATTTAGCTACCATATTTAATGTGGTGTTTAAAGTAATCAAGGTTATTTGTAATAATATGCATTTATTTCTTGCAAACACTTTAAGTAACTTATTAGTCACTACACTAGTGTAGTGTTTGATGGCAGCTAACACAGACATGCTATCTTCCTCTTATACTCAGTGATTCAGCTACTGTTTCCTTGTTCTCAGATACTTACTATAAAGCTATATAGAAGATGTGAAAATTTGTTTACTTAGTGTATTTGCAAGCAGAAATACCTATCAAAGACAGAGTTCAGGCTGTGAGTGAGTTCTTTTACAAGATTCACCAACTTAAGTCCAGGAGTGTCCTGCAAAGGGACAGTTGGGACTGGGAGCTAGAGGCTTTCATTGCCCTTTTTTACTATATAGCTTTCACACTGGTCCTGTTAAACTACTGAGCCATCCAAGAAAAGGCCTGCTGATCCTGCAATACACTGGATCTAGAGCAAACAGCTATTGCATGAATAAAGGAGCAGCAGTTGCAGATCCGTTAATTGTTAACTAGAATTAAGTACTTTGCTCTTCTGTTCCACAAGAAATTAATTCAAAAGATTTCCTGCTTTACAAAACCACAGAAGAAGCTTTCTCTCCATGCTAAAAGTACTGATTTTCATTGCACTTATCTTCCCATTTTCTGCCTTTGGCACAGAATAGTTAGCCTTAGGGCTGAAATGCCTTATTTGTACCTTGGTACTGGCTCAATATAAAAGGCACTTGGGTGAAATTCAATACTCTGGGAACAACTAAGTAAATTCAACCTCTTCAGTCTATAAAAAAGAGAACTCAATGAGGATGAAGGAGGGGAGGGAGAACAGAACAAATGATATGAGGAATGGCATGAGGAGGTTGGATAGGAATCAACTCTTCATGGTCTCTTCCAATACAAGAGTTAGAAGGCATGAAATGCTAGGAAGAGCTAGGTTAAGAACAAACAAGAGGAGGCAGTTCATGTAACAAATAATAGATCTGTGAAACTTCTTCCCAGAGGATATTGTGGATGCTCAAAGTTTGCATGGGCTCAAGGAGAGTGGACACGTTCATGGAAGAGAGATCTATTTAGGATTAGCAAATATACATAACTGCATCCAGCTCAGGAAGTCTGAGCTGAAAATAGCTAGAAACAGGGAAAGTATTATAGGGGGAAAGTATCATATATGCTTGCCCATCTCCTATTCTTCCCAAAGGCTCCTACTTCTAACCCCTGTAGGAAATAGAATACAGGGCCAGTTGGACTTGCATCTGACATATTATGGAAATGTTTATGTTCTTATACAAAGGTCAAAATAGATTTAATGGTCCTTTTTGTCTTTAAGTGCTAAAAAGTTTCCTTAACAGTTTTCATAAGCTTTAAAATAAAATCCGTAACCTAAAGGTTATGGATTAGGGGAGGCTCATTGGGCCCTCAAACTATTACCCCTTGCTGCTCATCCATATGGACACCCATGATACTGCCCGGGGAGACCTTGAATGCATCAAGAATGACTACACAGCTATGGGGGTGAGGGTGAAGGGCATATGGGGGCCTGGGTGGTGTTCTCCTCAGTCCTGCTGGTGAAGGAGAAAGGTTTGGGGAGGAGCAGATGGATCCTGCAGGTCAACACCTGGTTATGCAGCTGATATCATAAGACAGGGCTTTGGCTTTTATGACCACAGGGACCCCCCCTCTGAGAATCAAGGACTGCTAGAGAGAAATAGGATCCACCTGACAAAGTGGGACAAGAACATCTTTGCCAACAGGCTGGCCAACCTGGTGAGGAGAGCTTTAAACTAGGAACAACAGGGGAGGGAGATTACAACCCACAGTTAAGTGAGGAAAG